CTGTCTGCTGATTTCACAGTGCTGAGTGATATCACTAAAAAGGGGAATTGGGATATGTTTGTTTTTTTTAAAAAATTACCTGATTTTGAGAGTTAGAGTACTCCATAGTACTAATATGACATTGAATTTCTTATTATTAGCTTGAAATTTATTGGTTTAAAATGGTAAACAATACCTGGGTGCATTAGAAGTCCAAGGATACACAGAAGAGTTACCAGCGTGATCAGATGAAAAGTACCTCTTTTATGTTCTTCAAGACAAGTCAATGGGAAAAGAATTCATCAATAAGTAATATGCACCTATGCACCCTTTTTACTCCATTTGAATAAGAATTCTTCTTTTGAAGAATATTGCACAGAGTTTAGTAATAAGAAAGGGCACAAGAGATTAATTGATTAATTATATGATGGTCATGTATTACTGAATTCAGGTATTATAGCATTTCTCTTAAAATGTGAATGCAGTTAGGAAAAAAGTATAAAAATACTATTTTTGGATTTCATATCTTATTTTCTAATTCTTTCCAAAGAAAGAATAAATCTTAATCCTACAACCACAGTTCGAGGTGCCAAAATCATTGATATCTCTGAAATTTTCCACCATTTCCAAGGACATATTTCATGACCAAAATTCATTTTGAGCAACCCATGTACCATCTCCGTTTGAGTGGGTTGCCAAAGTTATCATGTGGTGGTCCTGAGAGTGAAATTTAAGAGATGGCTCATTTGACTACATCCAAAAATAATGTCCAAATCATTTGCTCTATGATATGTAGTCAATGTAGGTGGGGTGGGGTTTTTTTTATTTTAAAATAGGCATTGGGAGGAGTATTTTTTAGCTAGCAAAACTAGCATATGTCACTGTTATTCCAGAAAGTGTCTGCATATATGTTAAAAGTACAATTCTTATGTCTTAGAATTGTACTTCGAAGATGAGACTAAGTTTTGCCCTCTCTCTCAGAGCTAAAGGTTTATAAAACAGTAAATAATGAACATGACTGCATTTGGTAAAAAATTTTTTTCTCCATTTAGGTTCCTGATTACTACAAAATAATCAAAAAGCCTATGGACTTGTCAACTATCAAGAAAAGACTTGAAGTGACCAATTCATTCTACGCAAAGCCAGAAGATTTTGTGGCTGATTTCAGACTGATTTTCCAAAACTGTGCTGAATTTAATGAGGTTAGAAAAGTAGATACTTTATCTGGTTTTGTAGGCTTAGTTGCTTTCAGAAAAACTAGTGGGGGTAGAACTTACAACACAAGAATTTATTGTATTAAACTTATTTTGAGGATGAGACTGCAGTGAAAACATAGATCACACTTGAAACTGCTGTGGTGTTAGGTGACTATGCAGTCTAGATCCTTCCACAGAAGGAAGGAGGATTGTGACAAACATGCTAGCTGAATGGCAGGACAGCGGCTAAAGAATAGGACAATTGTTTATCATAGAGGCTAATGGTAGGCATTTGATTTAAAAATTGGTTTAATCCTCCTTGCCTCAAGTCTTAAATTCAGTGGGATTTTCATTCTGGGAGGTCTGTACTCTCACCCTTACGATTTCTAGTTGTGTGTTGAGTGATTTTTATTATCCCTTACTGCACATAAGGGAACACATGGTGAAAAAGGGATGCAGGTACTGAGTGGACCACAAAATGAGAGAGAATTACACTGGGAATAAAGGCTTCTCTAAGTGGCCTCAATGGCGTTCTCATCCAGTCACCCTTGATAGCTGGGAATACTTCCTGCCGTGGTGACCTCTGCTTCTGGAAACTGATCAGCCATAGTGGCTATGAATGACTTTAGGACTGCCTAGTCTTCCATGTTACGATCATCATCTATCCTAGTAGTATTTTCACTGTAATTAAAAAAGGTCTGCAAGCTAGAGAAATTCCAGCATTTCAAGCAGTCGTTCCAAAGCGCTTTAACACCCTGAAGGCATACCTATTATTTCACAGCATAACCCAACTTTCCCCCCCCCCCCAGTCAGGATGTAGGAGTTTTTAAACCTCTTTATATAGCTTTCAGAACCCAGGCAGTATGGCTTTTGCAATTGATGAATTATCACAGAAGCCAGAGAAAAAAGTCATTGGGGGTGTTGGCCAAAAGTTCTACCCTTGCCCCCTGTTTTGCAGGCTTGTGCTCTTTGGGACTGTGTGTTCCACAGGTGCCATTCTTACTGCTGATTGATTTTTTTTTTTTTGTAGTTTGTAAGAGCACCTAAAAGACTTAGTGTGATCTAAGTATAAAGCTATTTCGTGGTGCATTGATGTTGTTAATTCACTCAACAGCCAGATTCAGAAGTCGCTGATGCCGGCATGAAACTTGAAGCGTACTTTGAAGAACTTCTAAAGAACCTTTATCCTGAGAGAAAGTTCCCTGTACAACCCAACTGCCAGAGTGAAAAAGATAATCCAGAACTTACTGATGACTCGGATGATGACTTTGTACAGCCCCGGAAAAAACGCCTCAAAGGAGAAGACCGTCAGTTGCTTAAATGAGCCGCATGTGTTACTACAGAACGTTTTTTAAAAACTAAGAATATTTATCACTGTTAATCGTGAAAAGGAGGAAAATCATGACTGCTTTGACTTGTAGGTTTGTGGATATTTACTACACTTTCTACCCCTTGTCTGAAACACAAATCTAATGGAGACCAAGGCATGTGGAGAGCTTCTCTGAAGTTCCAAACTTTCATCGTACTTCTGGAGCAGCAGAGAAATTGCCATTTGTGTGGGGTGACAGCTGTTTAACTTTACTTTGAGGAAGAAAAGAAGTTTGTATAGAATTGAACTTTAAAACATTACATGGGTTCAACATGTGGCTTTTTGAGTTTGAAGAAAATGTGATCTCACCAGACTTTTAATTTTACCAAAGGCATGTGGCTGGCCATAATTTGATTTCTTTGTACTGTATTTAACACAAGCCATGAAAACACATGGTGTAATATTATTGTCCTGCAATACTGACTGGTACAATGAAAGTGTAGTTGTCCCCAAAGAAGTTACTGGTAATTTTAAAATGTAAGGGAGAGTGTATTAAAAAAACTTTAAAAAAAAAAAAAAAAGGAATTTGTTTGAGAGTTTTTAATGGAAGAAGTAAAGGACAGAATACCTTGTTTTGTGCCATTTTTCTCACCACCAGCAAGAAACAATGGTATCCCTGTACTATTTTGTTTAACAGGTGTCTCAAGTTCAATGTACCTCTGTTTAATGGAGGCAAAGTCTCGAGGGGGAAAATGTTTGCTTGCAACTATTAGCCAGTCTTTGTGTATGTTTAGAGAGGGCAAAAAAACATCATTTCTGTCCACAAGGTTTTGTTGTTTTTCCAAATTTCTAAATATGTTGTCAGAATGCAACCAGCATCGTTACTCACTTGGAAGTACGCAAGTTTGAAGAGGCGGAGAAAAAAGAAAGATAATGCTCTTCAGCCCTTCATCTGTCCCTGTTAAAATCACCAGAAGGTGAGGACAAATTACCTTTTTTTGTTCTGTCTATTTTCCAGAAGTACTGACAACAATATCAATGGTTGTTCCTGCCCTCAGAGATTGCAGAGTTAGAGAAGTACCTGTCTATGGTTGCTCCAGCTATCGGTTTAGACTCTTCATTTATATCTTCTTAAATGAAAACTGAGTTTTTGGGAAAGCAGGCAGTCTTTAGGGTTAATTGAGCTCTGATTGTGCCAGAATTTTGCAGATGGAATTGTGAAGACATCCGAGTGTACACAAACCTGCTTTTGACATGCTATGTAGCACTGATGTGGTGCTGTGGATGGATCATTGAAGAGACTAGATACAAGTGCTGCTTGTGCCTCCCTGCTGTGTTACATATGCACTCAGAAAAAGGCCCTTTTTTGCCTCTCACCAGATGAGATACTACCCACCTGCCTTTGTCATAGGGTGGCACTGCACACTTAAATGTAGTGGACACTTCAAAAGAACACTCAGTTGTGTTTGCAGCAGGCCTTTGACATAGCTTTTGAAATGCCATGATCATGTGGTTGATTTTTAAGCTGGCCAGAGTAACCATTTATTTTCCCTTTTTCCTTCTTAGGGGTTTCTTTTGTATTTGTGGTTTTTTTGTTTTGTTTTGGTTTGGTTTTGGTTTTTGTGGAAAGATTTTATTACCTGAAGAGAGTTGCTTGTAGCAGGATTTTACCATCCCAGAATACTAGAAAAAAAGGAAGAGAGGTGAAGGAGCAGAACAGGACGGTGAGGGAGACCATTCTAACAAATCAGGTGTGATCACTGCACACTACAGTAGCACAGACTTAAGAGGCACTGCCATTGCAACATTTGAAGTCTTAAAGATCTATCAATGCCTAGAAGTCCTAGATACCCTGTCACCAAGTTTAACAGTGCTTCCAGAGGAAGGTGCTGTGTGTTTCTCTGGACCGTAAGTTGCAAGCAGATTTATTAGGAGGCTTAGTGCATTTAGAGGTGAAGTTAGACACCTATACAGCTTCACACTCAAGTTGTTCTCTCTACGGGGAAGATGAGCGTAGGTGTACTCTTGCAACCCAGTTACTTATCTGTCTGCTGTCAACTAATGCAGACGGTATATGCACAAATAGTTGAGGAATGCTATTTTGTTTTTGAAGGAAAGTACTATATTCTTTCAAGCTGCTATGGCAAAGACCGTGTCTACTTTGTGTATTCCCCA